GGTCTAAACCCAGTAGTTAAAAATCAACTCGTGACTTAGAAACGGATGTTCCTAACATTGTATAGAAGAACATTGTGAAACTCCCGGCCCTGTTCTGTTTCTCTCTGACCACCGGTGCGTGCAGCCCCTGTCACATACCGCTGCTTGCTCAAATCAATCACGACGCTTTCATGTGAAATCTTTAGTATTGTGAGCCCTTAAAAGAGACAGAAATTGTGCACTCGGGGAGCTCGGATTTTAAGACAGTAGCTTGCGAATGCTCCCAGCTGAATAAAGCCCTTCCTTCTACAATTCGGGTCTGAGAGGTTTTGTCTGCGGCCCGTCCTGCTACAGTTCAACATGGAGGCTCCATCTTCCCTTTTTTTTTTTTTTTTTTTTTTTTTTTTTTGGTCACCGCCTGTAAAGAAACAGGCAACATGGCCCGCGCCAGGTAGAGAACCATCTGCATAATAAAAGATTGGGGTTGGGGGCGCACAGCTTTTCCCGCCCTATGAAAATGACAGCTAGCCCTAACCAGTTTTTCTTGCCTTACCCAAATAAAACACCTGATCCGACCAATCTTTGGGCCTTATGTAAATCAGGCACCGCCTCCTCAAGCTCTTCTGTAAAACCTGCTGCATTTCACCACAAAACCGGCAACCCATTTCTCCCAGACCCGGGTCTGCTACCGAGAGCGCTTCTCCTCTTCCTGTCGCCTATTAAACTTCAGCTCTAAAGCCCACCCTTTATGTATCTGCAGCCTATTTTTCCATGGCCGTCAGACAGCGGGTATTTACCCCAGACAATGACACTTAAGTAATTTTCCGACACTTTCCGGAGGTAATTTGCCTATGCGTACCTTTAAAAGTTACAGAATTGGGCCGGGTGTGGTGGCTCACGCCTGTAATCCCATCACTTTGGGAGGCGGAGGCGGGCGGATCATGAGGTCAGGAGTTCAAGACCAGCCTGGCCAAGATGGTAAAACCCCGTCTCTACTAAAAATATAAAAACTAGCCAGGTGTGGTGGCGGGCGCCCGTAATCCCAGTTACTCGGGAGGCTGAGGCAGGGGAATTGCTTCAACCCGGGAGGCGGAGGTTGCAGTGAGCCGAGATCACGGCCACTGCACTCCAGTCTGGCGACAGATTGAGACTCTGTCTCAAAAAAAAAGAGAAAGTTACAGAATTGGCCCGGCGCGGTTACTCGCGCCTGTAATCCTAGCAGTTTGTAAGGCCGATGGAAGAGGAGTTTGAGATCAACCTGAGCAATATTGCGAAACGCGTCTTTACAAAATAATACCAAAATTAGCCAGGCGTGGTGGTACGCACCCATGGTTCTAGCTGCTCCGGAGGCTGAGGTGGGAGAATTGCTGGAGCCCAGAAGGTTGAGACTGTAGTGAGCTGTGTTTGTGCCACTATACTCCAACCTGGGTGACAGAGCAAGACCCTGTTTGAAAAATAAATAAATACGTAAATAAATAAGGAAATAAATAAATAACATTGCTCGTAGAGCTGAGTAGGGTGGCACACGCCTGTAATTGCAGCTACTCAGGAGGCTGAGGCAGGAGGATGGATCAAGCCCAGGAGGTGGAGCCCAGCTTGAGCTAAATTGCATAAACCAACCCCCCCCCACCCCTCCTAAAAAAATATATATATATGACAAATAAGTTAAAGAATCCATGAAAATCGTCTAAAAAGCTTTAAAACAAAAAGCAATATACGTGGCAGGGTTGAGGGTGCTTTTTATGTTCTTAAAGCTCATTTACTCTACTTTTTCTTCTTAGGTGTGTCTAATTATTCCATAGTGAGCACATGTTAATGAAGAAGGTTTAGTGTCTAAACGTGCAGATAGGAAATCCTCCGGAACTGAAAGAGCAGGCTGGAGGGGACCGAACAGAGCCTGGCACGTGCTCTGGGAGCACCTCGGGGGCTGAGCGCTGGTAGACGGTGCCTCTGTCTCCCAATCCGCCTGGTGAAACACAACGGCGTGCCCACCTAGCCTGAGGATGCCAAGTGGACACAGGAAGCCACTGTGGCCACACAGCAATGATGAAGGACAGGAACCCCCTCATACCATCCCAGGAGCTTCTTTCAACAAGTTACAAATACAAAGACAAGTAAGGAACTTGGAAAGCCTGTTCTGCTGGGAGACTATCTATTTGGTTCTCAGGCCTGTAACTGTCATAGGGAGAACTCAAAGGTGGGCCCCAAGATTCCCACCCGGGGCACACGCCCTGTAGGCCACCTGCCTCTGAGTGAACGTGACGGCATGTCACTCCCACAACCATGCCACATTTTACGGAACAACGGATTGCGCAGCTGTGATTGAGGTTCCTGGTCAGTTGATTTTGATAAATCAAAAGGGAAATTAGTCTGGGTGGGCCTGACTTAATCAGGTGAGCCCTTTAAAAGAAGGTGGAGTTCCAGAAACACTGTGCACCGCTGGCCTCAGGGAAAGGGGCCTCTGGTTGCTGAGAGTGGCCCTCAGCTGACAGCCAGCGAGCAAATGGGAGATTTCAGTCCCACAGCAACAAAGAAATGCATTTTGTCAACAAGCAGGGAGGCTGGAAGAGAACCCCCTGCCTCAGATGAGACTGCAGCAATGGCCAACATTGTGAGGTCACCTGCTGCGGTATCAGTAGAAAACCTTGCTAACTTGCACAAAAAGCGAGATAATAAATCCACGCTGTCTTAAGACACTAAATGTGTGGTAATTTGTTACACACCAGTAAAATCTAAAACAATAGCCTTTCCAACTAAGAAAGTCATGTTTTAAGAAACAATATTCATACAAATATATCTGTACTGTGTCAAGATTTTATATGTACAGAAATCTTAAGTGAGCCTGGAATTGAATACACTTGCTTGTGCACACGTGCACACACACGTGTGTACCTATCACCCAGATGGAAAAGGAACATTTCCAGCATTGCAAAAAGTTTCCTCATGTCCCTTGCAAGTCAGTACCTGCACCTCCTCCTCCCAAGTGACAGAATTTTAACTTCTGTCAGTATAGATTAGTTTGGCTCGTGTGTGAACGTCATATGTGGAATCAATAGAATGCAGACGGTTGGTGTCTGGCTGCATTTGCTCAATATTGATGTCGGTGAAATCCATCCATGCTGTTTGCAGCAGTAAGCTCATTATCAGTGTTATAATTATCCCATGTAAGACTATATACATAATAAAAAATAAAATAATAAAATAAGATAAGACTATATACCATTTTATTTATCCAGTGCGAAGATGGTGGGCATTTGGCCTGTTTCCAGAGGCAAGTTATTATGAATGAAGTTGCTAAGAATGTTTCTGCTCGTGACTTATAAAGTCAATACATACTTTCAGTTTATTGTCTGTTTTGTTGTTGTTGTTGGGGTTTTTTGTTTGTCTTGTTTTTCTTTGGTTGGTTTTGGTACAGGAACTTGCTCTGTCACCTAGGCTGGAGTGCAGTGGGGCGATCTCGGCTCACTGCAGCCTCCGCCTCCCGGGCTCAGCCTCCTGAGTACCATCACGCCCAGCTAATGTTTACATCTTTTGTAGAGACAGGGTTTTGCCATGTTGCTCAGGCTGGGGGTTTTTGTTTGTTTATTTTTCTTTAGGTTGTTATTGTATTTTGTTTTTCATTGTATTTGTTTTTGATTTTTTGAAGTGAGAGTGTGGAAGTCTACCCCTGCTGTGGAGCGCATTCCCCAAAGGGGGCCGGCAGGTGTGGCTTTATGAGTGGCCTTCCTAAAGCAGATGCCGAGGGCTGGGCTTTGAGAATCCTGTGTCAGGGCGCTGGTGGAGCCGTTTTCCAGCCAGTGGCTTTGGCGGAGCGGATCCCGCCTTGGTTCTCTCTGTGGATTCGCCCCAACTCCCTGTTGGCCCAGGGCCCTTGGCATGCTTTATAACTGAAAGAAATGATGTAAATACGTTGTATCGGAGAGGTAGCGTGGCCGAGCGGTCTAAGGCGCTGGATTAAGGCTCCAGTCTCTTTGGGGGCGTGGGTTCGAATCCCACCGCTGCCAGACAGTGGTACTTTTGTCACTTTTGTCCCCTATGGGTTACAAAAGGAGTAATGGGCCACACACATACTCGGGATGCGGGGTTCCATTTGGCAGCGTGCAGCTGTGGAGTAGATGGGCCCTGTGCCGAGCTTGTCCACAGCAAGTGAAAGTGGATTGGGTTCTTCACAGATGCGAGTGATTGAGGCTGGGAAGCAAAAGCGTAGATGCCCTCTTCTCTTTGTGCCGCTGTAACCAGGTGGACATACTAGTGGGGTCTTCTAGTTTAGTCTCTAGTGTAATAAGAGTGTGTAATGAGATAAAAACCGCTTCAGGGCTGGGCGCAGTGGTTCACGCCTGTAATCCCAGCACTTTGGGAGGCCGAGGCGGGCGGATCACCTGAGGTCCGGAGTTCAAGACCAGCCACGACCAACATGGAGACACCCTATCTCTACTAAAAATACAAAATTAGCCGGGCGTGGTGGAGGGTGCCTGTAATCCCAGCTACTCCGGAGGCTGAGGCAGGAAAATGGCTTGAACCGGGGAAGCGGAGGTTGCTGTGAGCCGAGATCACGCCACTGCACTCCAGCCTGGGCAACAAGAGCGAAACCTCGTCTCAAAAAAAAAAAAAACAAAAATCCACTGCGGGTTGTTCCCGCCCGGTTTCGAACCGGGGACCTTTCGCGTGTTAGGCGAACGTGATAACCACTACACTACGGAAACCCACGCTTAAAGTGGCCGCCATAATAGTGTCCACTAGCAACTACACTCCAGGTATGTTCGACAACGGTTCCCCAGCTGTGAAAGGAGAGCCCCACAACCCGCAAAAGCATACACTCGCGTACAGGTCTGTGCCCAAAGTCTTACCAGCAACTGTTGCTTCCGGGACGGCTCGCTTAGTCTCCTATCCACGATTCTTCCCAATCCCTAGCACTCCCTAGGAAATCTTGGTGATGCCACCGCTGGACACCGTTCGGGATCAAAACTGTCAAAGTAATACAAAATTTAGTTGAAATGAAAAAAGCTGGCTCATCCAGGATCTGAACAGGAAGAAATTTAGTTGAAATGAAAAAAACAAAAACTGGGCTCGTCCGGGATTTGAACCCGGGACCTCTCGCACCCAAAGCGAGAATCATACCCCTAGACCAACGAGCCGGCTGTTAACAAACTTGCTGAATATTTTCAACATTGTGTGCTTCACGGATCAATTCACCAAAAAGGAGGATTTCTTTCTGGCAGCTTGAAACCATTCTCAAAAGTCTCATAGTCTCCCAAGCCCAACCTGTCCCCGCTGCCCATCTTCGCGTCTGCCGCTAATTCTCAGCCGCCGGTAGCTCCACACCGGGTAAACGCTCCGTATGCCCTGTCTCCTCTGGTCTCCTGGAATCCGAGTGAGCGCCTCCCTGCTGGATCCACTCGAGTAGCAGGCAGGGGCGTCCATCCGTTCTGCAGCCTGGGCGTCCCTTCCCAAGGGAGTTCAAGAAAGGTGCAAATCTTGAGGCCTAGGCGCAGGACGCAGAGGTTGGCAGAGCCGGAGGGCTCGGGAGAGAGCGCAGTGCTGGGAGGGAACGCCGGACCAGTTGGGTGAGGAGCCCCGAGAAGCGGCTCTTAGCGTTTTATGAAAAGATAACAAGCAGGACATACCCATTTGCAAAATGTTCAGGAAATGTAGGAAAGTGTAAGGCAGAAACGACCGATGACCGCGAACTCTGTCTTCTCGTGGTGACTCTGGCCACCGGGTTGTCGCACAGCTCGGAGGCTGGACCCACGGGCGCGCGCTCCCGGGGGTCGCCGGGGGTCCTGGCTCACAGACCTCGCCGCGTTCTCCTGGGATTGCCCGCGGGCCGCCTCCAGCACAGGGCAAGCCTGAGGCTGGAGCTGGGCGGGCGCGCTCCTCTTTGCTCGCCTCGACATACTCTCGCCCTGCGCGCTTTAATTGCACTGGTTTATTTAGCAGTAAAGATAGTGATACGGATTTCCTGCTGTAAAATTCGCGATAATCTACTCAGCGCTGAGCCACAGGTTTATTTTTGTGTCACCAGCAGAGACATTTCCTACACTGCTGTAAAACAGCGTGGGATGGTGGTTAAGCCACTCCGAGGAAACAATGCCCCTGTTTCCATTCGCACTCCCGGCGATCTTGCTCCGCCGTCTGCGAGCGCCGCTGCACTCGTCCTTCCTCTCTGCCTCTCCACGCTGGACTCTCCTGGTGCCGTGGCTGGCTTTCGGCTCTTCCCACAGTGAACATTTCGGGTGAACCAACCCGCCCCAAGGGTCTGCCCCACCCGGCATAGCTCTCCCTTGTCCCAAGCCTCGCACGCGCGCCTCCACCAACAGCTGGACGGGAGCGCCAGCCTGGGAGACCTCCCGGCACCTCAGCAGCTCCCACCGGATTCAGCCAGGTGACCCGGGGGTGTACGGGAGCGGCTGCAACGCCCAGACTCTGAGAGCCCCAGAGTGCGAGGCCTGAGGTTCTTCCACCTGGTTGTTCGATTATTATGGGGACCGTCTGCCAACACCCCCCAAAACGGTCACACGCTCGCACCCCGGGAGTCCATGGTTTTCGTCGGGAGGGTGTTTGCAGTCAAGCCCTCAGGTAGCTCGCCGCTGGTCCCCGTGACCCGACTTCTACAGTGGGGTGATCTTCCTGTGGGGCAGGCGTTTCGGGGTCGACGAGTCCGAGGAGCCCCGGGCGCGCGAGTCCCCGCATGTGCTGGCGGGCTCCTGGCCTGTCCCAGCGAATCCGTCCCGGTCTGGACCCACAGTCTCGGCTCTCTGGACCGGAGCCGGCGTGGGTGAGGGAGGGAAGTGCGTACCTGCTGGCCGGAGCTGCAGACCCCGCTCGCTCCTCCACGCCGCCCAGTCAAGGGTCTCTACCCAGGTGGCCGCGAGCGATTTTCTCTTCTGCGGTGCACCCGGCCGGGGTTCCGTTTTCGAACCCTGAAGTGGTCCCTGTATAAGCCGCGGCCCCACGTGGGACGGGCTTCTTGAGGTCCCCTCCGGCTGGAGAGAGGGCGCCTGCGACAGGGGAGTGTGCGGCGGGACCCAGCCCCGCCTCCGCCTGTGCCCAGGCCTCCAAAGCGCGCGGTGCTGGGAAGACCCAGGCAGGAGCCGTCCCGAGACCCCCGGGTGCCCGTCCTGCACCTGGGCAGCGCCCCCACTGTTCACTGAGGACTTGGGCTCACTTTCTACACTTCCGGTAACAGCAGGAATAAATCAGAAGGCCAGCATACATTAGTTATATATTTTGTTTAAAATAAACTAATTTTGTTTAAGGCTGAAAGCGAATGTGACAGGTAGAGCCGTTAGTCCCGGGCCTTGAATGTGGCCGTCTGCGCTTTTCTGTGTTAACTCCACAGGAAGAAGTCAGAGTCTGCAGCACCGAGGCGGCGGGGACCCGAACGCCGAGGGCGCGCAGCCGCCAAGCGCAGACCAGAGCCTCAGCGCGCGCGTGGGGGAACGCCGCAAACAAACGCAGCAAACAAACGCGGGGCGGGAAGGGGCGCGGTAGTGCCATCGTCTCCCCCTGGAGAGAGGGAAGGAGACGCGAAGTCGAGTCCCTGGCAGGAGTGGGAAGACCTGAGGGGAGCGGAAAGACGCTCCCGGAGAGAGCGCGCAGACGGAAGTGAGCGGGGTCGTGGGGAGAGGGCGCGCGGGGCCCGGGGAACCGGTGATGGAAAAGGAAGCCCGCAGTGGGTCTGACTCTTCAAGAGATAAGCAGATGGTAGACAAGTAGCCTTGCGCGGCAAGTATCTTAGAGGCAAACAGAAAGTGACTCTGCCAGGGTCTGGCCTCCCAGGAAGGCGGAAGTAGACTTGTATATCTTCCACTTTTCTTTTAGGAAAAAATGGGGGGAAAAAAAACAAAGTAGGCCCCAGCGAGATTTGAACTCGCGACCCCTGGTTTACAAGACCAGTGCTCTAACCCCTGAGCTATGGAGCCAACTGCAAGTTTTCTTTTCGCATACAAATATTGACGCTGTCGCCGGCGCCACGCAGCCGCAGTCCGCTCAATCCCCGGCCGAGTTCGGTGGCGGCTGACTCCAAGCTCCTCCCCCGGCCGCAGCCATCTTGCCAGTGCGTGCGTGGCGCGGAACGGCCGTTAGTCCCTGGAGAGAGTTCCGCGAAGACAGTGCCGGCGTTGGGCGCGCGCGCTGGCGGGAGCTGTCAGTGCGGGGCGGTACCGCCGAGCTCGGAGCTGTGAGGAGCGCCCCGGGTCTTGGGCTGGTCTAGGGGGCAGGGACGGGCGTGCGCAGGATTGGGGAGCACGTTTTGCGTCTCGCTGTGCATGAGGAAGCGGGGCTCCAGGTCAAGGCTATGGAAAGGTCAGGGAATGGTGTCAGTGCGCCTGTCCTGCAGGGAGTCCAGGTCCGAGAGGTTAGGGCGGGACCTGGGGCGAGCTGGGTGGTGGGGGAGCAGTGGGGGCAACAGGAGGTGGAGGCCGACGGGGGAGGGGGGGCGGGGAATCTGGACGGCCAGGTGTTTGGAGGCGCCGGGGCCGGAAGGGTCCAGGCGAGGTTGCGGGTGGGTGCTAGCCCATGTCTCACATTTGGATGAATTAGGAAAATGCAGCTTTTAGGGCACACCTTGACATGTTCTGTCAGGGCCCTTAAAGGGCCCATGGGGCGGAGGAGAGGGGAAAAGGATGAGGGCTCAGCCTGGCAAAGGACAGAAGGTGGTGGGTGTAGGAGGTGGACCTTGGTCTGGTGGCCTACCCTGCCCTGTGCTCCCTGCAAGGCCAGGTGACTTGGGTCACTGGGCGGCCAGGCCAGAGGCAGGCCCCTAGGTGCCCCCCAGTCTGGATGCTGAGGGGCCCTGTGAAGGTCTGGCGGCAGAGGCCTGGGCTTATGGCTCAGCAGCTAGGACTGGTGGGTGAATAAGAAGGGCCCAAGTTAGGCCAGTTGTTCTCACAGACCCAGAGGTCTCTAGAGTTTATGATGCCCAGAGTCTAGGAGAGGGAAGTGCACACACGCGCCCTCAAGGACACCAGCATCCTGACATCCAAGTTACTGCACTGCCCTGGTTACCAAGAAAGAACATCTTTTCCCTTCTATATGCAATTGGGACCGTCGGTAACTGTTGTTACATTTCTTCAGATATATAGATATGTATGTAGTTACTCTGCAAACGCACACTCTGATAGACACACGATTGCACTCATGGACACAGAAACGGAAAATAAACATGTGGACAGCTACTCCCAGTCCCCAGACCCGACCTTCATGTGACGCCTCCACCAGACATGTACTTTCAGGGACCTGTAATGTGTGTTGTGATGCCCAGCACATCTGTTGGATGGTACAAAGGGAATTACGATACTTAATCAAAAAGCCGTACAAGCCAGATAACATTAGGGCTCAACGGTAATAATAGGTGATTTAGTTAGGAGATTAATGTTAGAGATTGGTTTTCCTTGTGGAAATCAGTGGTATTCAAATGCCTGAATTGGCTACCAGGTTTTAGAGTTGCTCTCCATGTATGAGCAGAACACAGAATTCACTCTCTGGAATGCTTCTGTAGGTAGGACTTTGAAATGACCCTGTCCTCAGCCTGGAGGATACAGTATTCTGATTGTCTGGTGCTGTGTCAACTGGGCCTGCCTCAGATAGTGTCATGCCTGCCCCACGAGAACCCTGTATGCAAAGTGAGCTTGAAGCATCTCAGAGACAGAGCACTGAAGCTCCATGTCACAGGGCTATTCAGCTATCATTGCCCCTGTTTACCAACACCTCTGTCTAAATAAGCTGTGCGGGACAGAATTAGGTCCAAGTCTGGTATTCTGTTCATCCAACCTGGTAGCCAGGTAGCAAGGGAAGAAGCCTGTGGCCCTTGTCTAAATACGAGGTGATTAATATTTAAAACAAATAACAGTAGGGTATGATCAAACTGACTTGGGTCTCTTTGCAACACCTGAACCTTATGCACATGCTCATAAATGCCCTCTCCAAAATACACACACACACACACCCCACCCAGGAAAGGTGAGATACAAATGCACACTCCTTCCGTATATAAACATGCATGCTCCTTCGCTCTGGCAGAAACCCTGGCTCACACTTACGCTCCTGTGCTCAGATCCAGGGAGTAGAAAATGAGCCAAGCCAACTCTAAAGACAGCTCACAGTCTTCATTTTCATCCCCTCACTCCCTTCCCAGGGCAGTGCTGAGCAGGGAGCAGCCCACTGCCACCCTTCCAGAAGCCCAGCTATCCAGAAGCTGGAGAACAAGTTGACAAGGGGCTGAGGCTGGCCAGGGGAATGCCCTTCAGGACATGGGCTGAGAAGGCCTTAGCACCAGGGTGCTCTGCGGTTGGCATTTTCCCGAGTCTGTCAGGATCATGTTTGTGCTCAGTGCATTGTTTAAAGCTGGCTGCATCTTTAGAATTGTAAGTGCCAACTTGTGTTTTGTGTTTCAAAGTTCCAGAAGCAAAAACAAAACAAAACAAGTTTGGGTACAGCAGCTCACACCTGTAATCCCAGCCCTTAGGGAGATGGAGACTAGAGGATCACTTGAGGCCAGGAGTTCAAGACCAGCCTGGGCAACATAGCAAGACCCAGTCTCTTTAAAAAAAAAAAAAAAAAAAATTAGAATAAAGTTCCAGAAGCTTTGCTGTCCTTATCCAAGCAGAATTTGTCCTTTGGCACTGGAAAGTGGGGGAGTCGGGTGTTTGTGGGAGCACATGTGGATTGTTGCTTTGGTCAGGAAGCACCCATCACTCTGTATCCTCCAGCTAAGGAGTGCTGGAGAGCTGTGATGTCCATTGTCCCGGGCTTCTCCCTCAAAGACGGACCAAAGGTCTCCTTCCAGTTTTGGCCGGGACTGTCCTCTGAGCTGGGAGCACAGGGCTCCTCCCTGAGTAGCTGACCTGTGAGGCCAGCTGGATCCAGAGGTCCCACAACCTTTCAAGGCAGAGCTGGAAGCTGTCCAGAAGGCAGCAGCCATGATAACGAACCTGGTTGGCCTGGGCCCAGACCTGTCCCCTGGCAACAGAGAACAGCAGGACTGGCTTTGACATTGTTTTAGGGAGCCAGAGCCCTTCCCAGTCAGGGCAGAAGCCCCATGGAGAGCTGGGCTCCTGACCTCACCAGCCTCCACCTCCTGAAGGCTCTGGCCAAATCCACGTGTGACCTCAGGAGGGGAACACCCCCAGGAGGCCAAGGCCTCTGTCCCTGCTCAGTTGGCCACAGCCTCACTCTCCTGCCTCGGGGTTGTGTCTCTAGCAGCCTCTCTTGGGCAGCCGGGGTCAGGGGCACGGAGGGCAGACCCAAGACAGACTAGGCAGCTCTGGGGAGGTGATATCCCTTCCCACCGGCAGCCCTGAGACAGGAGCTCCCCAGCAGTGTCCCTCAAGGCCAGATTCTCAAGTAGGTGCCCGTGGAGCAAACAGAGAAAAGCGGGAACACGCGCTCCTGGAAGTTGACGCGGAAGGTGTAGAGGTGGCGCATGTCCTCCACGGCGTAGAAGGACACGGCTCCCACCTCGAGGTCCAGGGCCACCCGCACGCGTGACAGGTGCCCGCAGCTGAGGGGCGAACGCTCGGGGCTGGTCACGGCCCAGTACTGGCCGCCGTTGAGCTGCAGGGCCCAGACGCCCTCCTCGGGGGTGAAGGGCGTCAGGCCCTTTCGGCGCACGCTCTCGCGGGCCACGCCAAAGGCCCAGCCGTCCTTAGAGCCCACCTCCACCTCCCAGTGATGCCGGCCCGAGGAGAAGCCGCAGGACGCCAGGACTCGGGTGTTGGTGTCGAAGCGGCGGGGGTGGTTGGGCAGGTCCTGGGTCCGCTCGCCGAGGCGCACGCTCTTAAGATCCAGAGAGAGGATGAGGCGCGGGTTGGCTGTGTCGGGATCCAAGGTGAGCTCCACTGCCGACAGAGACAGGGAGAAATGTCCCCACGCAGGCAGGCCCCTGGCATACTCTTTGCAGGGTCGCGCCCGACCTTGCTTTGCAACCTGCCTGACTTTCCCTCTGGAATCCATCCAGCACCCAGCGCCAAGGCCCAACCAACCCCCATGCTCTGCATCCCAGATATTTTGCTTCCCCCCTCCCTGACCACTCAACAAGTACTTACTGAAATCAAACAAATGCAATAGGTGGGCCTGATCTGAACCCTAATTCAAACAGATGGGGATATTTGAATGGTAGACATTGGAAAGAATCATTAATCTGTCCAGGTGTGATGACTGCTTTGTGATTATGTTTTACAAAGTCTTTTTCTTTAGAGATAATACACTGAGGTATTTATGTCAATAATATGTTGACTCTGATGCTTTAAAATAATACAGTAGGCCAGGCGCGGTGGCTCACGCCTGTAATCCCAGCACTTTGGGAGGCCAAGGCGGACAGATCACCAGGTCAGGAAATCGAGACCATCCTGGCTAACACGGTGAAACCCCACCTCTACTAAAACTACGAAAAAAAAAAAAAATTAGCCAGGCATAGAGGTGGGTGCCTGTAGTCCCAGCTACTCGGGAGGCTGAGGCAAGAGAATGGCCTGGGCCTGGGAGGCGGAGCTTGCAGTGAGCCAGATCTCACCACTGCACTCCAGCCTGGGCGACAGAGCGAGACTCCGTCTCAAAATATAAATAAATAAATAAATAAATAAATAAATAAATAAATAAAATAATACGGTAGGGCCGGGTGCCTAGACTCACGCTTGTAATCCCAGCATTTTGGGAGGCCGAGGCCGATGGATCACATGAGGTCAGGAGTTTGGGACCAGCTTGGCCAACATGGCAGAAAACTTGTTTTGTATTTTCTCTACTAAAAATAGAAAAATTTGCCCAGTGTGGTGTCCTGTGCCTGTAATTCCAGCTGTTTGGAAGGCTGAGGCATGAGAATTGCTTGAACCCAGGAGGCAGAGGTTGCAGTGGGCAGCGATCAGGCCACTGTACTCCAGGATCTCACTCCAGAGCAAGACCCTGTCTCAGAAAATGAAATAATCCCATAAGAAGTGGATAGCAGTGTCTGTGAAAACTATGGCCACTAATTGATCACTGCTGAAGGTGAGAGGTGGGTATGTCACCTTCTTTACACTCTTCTCTCTACTTTTGAGTATGTTAGAAATTTTTCATAATAAAAAGTTAAGGCCAGGTATAGAGGCTCATGCTTGTAATCCTGGCACTTTGGGAAGCAGAGGTGGGAAGATAGCTTGAGCCCAGGTGT